GAAATGGTGCCCAATCACTTGGACGATCGGGGATTGAACGCCGACCTGCGTTTAGCAAGATGGCAGCTCTACCATCCAATCCAAGTAGTTGGGCTGTTAGGAATACAAATAAGCGACAATGTGTACATTTAAACGGCTTGTAGCGTGCTCTATGGTGTAGGACACGGAGGAAAGAAATGGTGCCCAATCACTTGGACAATCGGGGATTGAACGCCGACCTGCGTTTAGTAAGATGGCAGTTCTACCGTCCAATCCAAGTAGTTGGGCTGTTAGGAATACAAATAAGCGACAATGTGTACATTTAAACGGCTTGTAGCGTGCTCTATGGTGTAGGACACGGAGGAAAGAAATGGTGCCCAATCACTTGGACGATCGGGGATTGAACGCCGACCTGCGTTTAGCAAGATGGCAGTTCTACCGTCCAATCCAAGTAGTTGGGCTGTTAGGAATACAAATAAGCGACAATGTGTACATTTAAACGGCTTGTAGCGTGCTCTATGGTGTAGGACACGGAGGAAAGAAATGGTGCCCAATCACTTGGACAATCGGGGATTGAACGCCGACCTGCGTTTAGTAAGATGGCAGTTCTACCGTCCAATCCAAGTAGTTGGGCTGTTAGGAATACAAATAAGCGACAATGTGTACATTTAAATGGCTTGTAGCGTGCTCTATGTTTGTTAGTTCTTGCCTCTCAGTGATTTTATTTTGCTGTTGATTTTTGTGAATGATTTATTGGTTCACATAATTTCCAAAGTTTATATTTAGCGTGATTACATAACTCAGTTTTGACTGTATTTGAACAGATGGTTACAGTGTTGGGTCGTTACAGTGTTGGGTCGTTACAGTGTTGGGTCGTTACAGTGTTGGGTCGTTACAGTGTTGGGTCGTTACAGTGTTGGGTCGTTACAGTGTTGGGTCGTTACAGTGTTGGGTCGTTACAGTGTTGGGTCGTTACAGTGTTGGGTCGTTACAGTGTTGGGTCGTTACAGTGTTGGGTCGTTACAGTGTTGGGTCGTTACAGTGTTGGGTCGTTACAGTGTTGGGTCGTTACAGTGTTGGGTCGTTACAGTGTTGGGTCGTTACAGTGTTGGGTCGTTACAGTGTTGGGTCGTTACAGCTGTGGGAGGGGTGACTGTGGGAGGGTGACTGTGGGAGGGGTGACTGTGGGAGGGGTGACTGTGGGAGGGGTGACTGTGGGAGGGGTGACTGTGGGAGGGGTGACTGTGGGAGGGGTGACTGTGGGAGGGGTGACTGTGGGAGGAGTGACTGTGGGAGGGTGACTGTGGGAGGGTGACTGTGGGAGGGGTGACTGTGGGAGGGGTGACTGTGGGAGGGGTGACTGTGGGAGGGGTGACTGTGGGAGGGTGACTGTGGGAGGAGTGACTGTGGGAGGGGTGACTGTGGGAGGGGTGACTGTGGGAGAGTGACTGTACTCCTCACCTAATTGTACTCACCTAATTGTGCTTGCGAGGATTGAACTCTGGCTCTTTGGTCCCGCCTCTCAACCGTCAATCAACAGGTGTACAGGTTCCTGAGCCTATTGGGCTCTATCATATCTACACTTGAAACTGTGTATGGAGTCAGCCTCCACCACATCACTGCCTAATGCATTCCATTTACTAACTACTCTGACTCTGAAAAGGCCTTTCTAATATCTCTGTGGCTCATTTGGGTACTCGGCTTCCACCTGTGTCCCCTTGTGCGTGTACCATCCGTGTTAAATACTCCGGGTGCAGTGTTGGTGATCTAGGGAGGGGGGGGGGGGGGGGCTGGAGTTTCTTTCACCCTGATGCTCCTGTTCACTTAGCAGGAAATAGGTACCTGGAAGTTATACAACTGCTACGGGCTGCTTCCTGTGTGTGTATGTGTGTTAGAGAGAAATATATGTAGTAGAAATAATAGAGGAAAAATAAATTGGTTAGAAAGGCGGGGTCCAAGAGCTAATAGCTTGATTCTGCAGATACAAATAGTAAATACACCATCGGTTATAACGCCCCATAGTAATATCTCCAGAGAGTAACCCACAACCGCCACTCCCTCCCCCCCCCCCCCGGGTACACATTTACTACGAGTTTAAACACATCAAGATAAAAGGAGGGAACATACCCGTCCTGCCCCGGCATCGAACCTGCGACCTTTCAGCTACGAACCGATTATGCGTATACCGCTGCCCCCTAACTACCATGAACCGGTCCGAGGGCGTGAGATCGTTAGCATCTGCTCGTAGATGGCGCCCAGCTGATGGTAAGTGTTTAAGACACGTCAGCACGTGGGAAGACGTAGGTGTAGCTGTACAAATTGTCACGACATGTGTTGTAAACAGCTGCGGATTTCCCAAACTATCTCCTCCCCCTCCCTCCCTCCCCCCCGGAAGGTCAAGGCATCCTCTACCCCTCCCCCAACACCCCACCGGAAGATTCAGACACCCCCTTCCCCCTACCTCTGAAATGTCTAGCCATTAGCTCCTCAAAGAACGTCCAAACCACCACCCGGTTAGGAACGTTCAGAGTTGAGAGGAGTTACTCTGGAACATCCATCCCCTCCCTACCCTAAGGAACATCCATCCCCCCTCCGCCTACACCTCCGGATATCCACACCTCCGGGGAGAAAGAAGGAGGGTACAGATCTCTGGTGCGCCTACTGTACCCAAGCACGGAGGGGTTCAAAAGAACATAGATCTGCTTTGGAGAAAGTTCAACACGAGTGTGACCAAAATCCTCCCGGAACTTGAGTGGACTCTGATGGCGGGAACGGTTGAGCATCACGGGACTAACCAACCACACTACACAAACCCCACATGACAGGAGACTGACCTCACCCAGACTCTTGACTTTTCTGAACAGTTTGGAGGATAGAAATGCGACTAGAAATGGGGCTAATAAGCTGACCGTCGCCCCCTATCCCCCCCAAGAGACTAGGGGGTTAGGGGACGGGATTAAGTAAACCAGGACAGTGGTGGGGGGCTGGTGCAGCCTTGACCGGGGGGGCGGCGGGCCCAAGGGATTCCAGCTACGCACCTGCATTCCTGGCTTGTTACAGCAGCTGTATTGATAATTACACTATGACCAGCGCCCGGGCTGCTTGCTGGGGGTAGGAAGAGAAAGGGATATGGTACGATGTTTTGTGCGTCCGTGTATATACTATTTGTATCTGCAGAATGGAGTTATTAGCTCCTGGACCCCGCCTTTCTAACCAGTTAGTTTTTTCCTCTATTATGTCTACTACATATATTTCTTTTTTAACACATCGCCAGGAAGCAGCCCGTAGCAGATCCTGTAACTCCCAGGTACTTGTTTACTGCTAAGTGAACAGGGGCATAAGGGAGGTGAACAGTCCCATCATAGTGAAAGAAACTCTGCAAATTTGTTTCCGCCTCTGCCCGAGGATCGATCCCCCGGACCGTAGTCCTACGAATCCCGAGGGCTGTCCACTCAGCCATCAGGCCCCCGTGTGTGCTTGCATGCGTGCGTGAGTGCGTGAACATGCTCAAACTCTCCTGCAACATGCCCAGTTGAGTGGGTATGAGCTCTCTACCCTCAACCTCACTGTGGCATTCCCCCCAACCTCTTGGGTTGGACGGTAGAGCGACGGTCTCGCTTCATGCAGGTCGGCGTTCAATCCCCGACCATCCAAATGGTTGGGGCACCATTCCTTCCCCCCCCCCCGTCCCATCCCAAATCCTTATCCTGACCCCTTCCCAGTGCTATATAGTCGTAATGGCTTGGCGCTTTCTCCTGATTCCTTTCACTGTGGCATTAGAAATGTCTTCCTTCATTTAAATGTCTTACGGGTTCCTTCTTATCCAGGCCTACCCCCCCACCCCCCCCACCCCCACATACACATACATGCTGCGTATGTGTACTGTGGGTAATTATACCCACAATAATTGCCTAATTCCCGGGTACCGATTTAATAGCTGGGTGAACAGAGCCATCAGGGGAATAGAAACGTGCCCGTTTCTCTTCTGCAAGGGGATTTAAAACAGAGTGTGAGCAGAGGATGTAGACTACTGAACAAATCCACAAGGGCCGTGACGAGGATTCGAACCTGCTTCCGGGAGCATCCCAGACACTGCCTTAATTTGTTCATTTGATGCATCACGTTAGTGTGTTCTCTGTGTGTAATGTAGACTACTGTGCTACGGGATTATAGGACGTTACTATATACTACGGGCGTTTCGTCCGGGTCGTCTGTTGAAGGGGGGGCGGGGTCGTCCGGGTCGTCTGTTGAAGGGGGGGGCGGGGTCGTCCGGGTCGTCTGTTGAAGGGGGGGCGGGGTCGTCCGGGTCGTCTGTTGAAGGGGGGGCGGGGTCGTCCGGGTCGTCTGTTGAAGGGGGGGCGGGGTCGTCCGGGTCGTCTGTTGAAGGGGGGGCGGGGTCGTCCGGGTCGTCTGTTGAAGGGGGGGCGGGGTCGTCCGGGTCGTCTGTTGAAGGGGGGGGGGGCGGGGTCGTAAGGGTCTGAGTCGTCTGTTCAGAATCCGTCTGTGTTAATTATTGTAAGATTGTTCACCATCGGAGCCGGTCGGCCGAGCGGACAGCACGCTGGACTTGTGATCCTATGGTCCTGGGTTCGATCACAGGCGCCGGCGAGAAACAATGGGCAGAGTTTATTTCACCCTATACCCCTGTTACCTAGCAGTAAAATAGATACCTGAGTGTTAGTCAGCTGTCACGGGCTGCTTCCTGGGGGTGGAGGCCTGGTCAAGGACCGGGCCGCGGGGACACTAAAGCCCCGAAATCATCTCAAGATAACCTCAAGATAACCATATTGGCGGTGCTGGCTCTGTTCACCACTGTGGTAGACATCAAGGTGTATGCATAATTAGGGTTCGTGTTGATACTAAAGGTAAGTAACTGGCCCAAGGTCACTCACTCGTGGCTGATACTGCAGCTTGTCCCCACCACACGTTATTAGGTCAGGGGTGATGTGTCGTGATGTGCTGAACTATGCCCCCAGTACCTTGCCTGTACCTGAGAGCAACGGTGTTGTTGTGTCTTGCAGACGGCGGGTCCGGGCTGCGCGCTGTCCACTCTCTCCTGGACATCCAGAGGGACAAGGAGAGAGCCCTGCTGCACCCCACCAGATACCTGGATGATCTCCGCGTGCTCTACAACATCCACAGGTACGTTGGTGAGTGAGAGAGGGAGAGGGAGAGAGAGAGAGAGAGAGAGAGAGAGAGAGAGAGAGAGAGAGAGAGAGAGAGAGAGAGAGAGAGAGAGAAGAGAGACAGAGATGAGGAGAGAGAGAGAGAGAGAGAGAGAGAGAGACAGAGAGAGAGAGAGAGAGAGAGAGAGAGAGAGAGAGAGAGAGAGAGAGAGACAGACGAGAGAGAGAGACAGACAGAGACAGACAGAGACAGACAGAGAGAGAGAGAGAGAGAGAGAGAGAGAGAGAGAGAGAGAGAGAGAGAGACATTTTCATGTGACTAACGTAGGTAATATTCTGACAGGCGATGTTACCTTATCTCTCAATACTCCTGAAGCTTGAATGATTCGTCCATGTGAACCAATCTAGGCTCTGAGAGAGAGAGAGAGAAGCGCCTAGTCCTCTCCGATTTATTCAGGTCATTTTTTTTTTTACCCCAATGTAGATACCAGTATCTCAACTCTTCCGTCCCGTCTCCCCCTCCCCCCCTTCCCCCCAGGCATCTTGCACCGCGTGCATCTATTCGTCTGCAACAAACAAGCAAAAATAAGTATCTAAACTTGAGAATTTCTTGTCCCAGTGACAAACGCGGTTGTGCCGCAGACAGTCCACTCATATCCTACGGCTTCCTAGATTACAAATAATAATAATAGTAATAATAAAAATAATAATTGTGCAATTGTTAACTTTCCGTGTTCTAATATGTTTCAAAGAGTTTCTGATGCTGTTTAAGGATAAACTGGATAAGCACCTCCAAAGGATACCTGATCAACCAGGCTGTGACTCATACGTCAGGCTGCGAGCAGCCGCGTCTAACAGCCTGGTTGATCAGTCCAGCAACCAGGAGGCCTGGTCGACGACCGGGCCGCGGGGACACTAAGCCCCGGAAGCACCTCAAGGTAGCCTCAAGGTGAGGTGTCAGGTTTGATCATTATTGTTAAAAATGTGTTTAAGGAAGAATAAAGGGAAAAAGTACGTTATTAAGACTTTGGTGTGCTGTGGACGGGTTGGGGACAGGTAGCCAGTGACAGGCTGGGGCGAGGAGTGCCACTGTCTTCTCTTGACCATCTCCCCCCCCCTTCAGCATAGTGCCGTCTGCCAGGGTCTTCCGTTGGTCTTCAGTATATTCAGAGCCGCGGTAATGTAAGGACGTATCCGTCTGCGTCACACATGTGGCCCGTCTGCGTCACACATGTGGCCCGTCTGCGTCACACATGTGCCCGTCTGCGTCACACATGTGCCCGTCTGCGTCACACACAGGTGCCCGTATGCGTCACACACAGGTGCCCGTCTGCGTCACACATGTGGCCCGTCTGCGTCACACATGTGGCCCGTCTGCGTCACACACGTGCAGCCCGTCTGCGTGACACACGTACCCGTCTGCGTCACACATGTGGCCCGTCTGCGTCACACATGTGGCCCGTCTGCGTCACACATGTGGCCCGTCTGCGTCACACACACGTACCCGTCTGCATCACACACACGTGGCCCGTCTGCATCACACACACGTGGCCCGTCTGCATCACACACACGTGGCCCGTCTGCATCACACACACGTGGCCCGTCTGCATCACACACACGTGGCCCGTCTGCGTCACACACACGTGGCCCGTCTGCATCACACACACGTGGCCCGTCTGCATCACACACACGTACCCGTCTGCATCACACACACGTGGCCCGTCTGCATCACACACACGTGGCCCGTCTGCGTCACACACACGTGGCCCGTCTGCATCACACACACGTGGCCCGTCTGCATCACACACACGTACCCGTCTGCATCACACACACGTGGCCCGTCTGCATCACACACACGTGGCCCGTCTGCGTCACACACACGTGGCCCATCTGCATCACACACACGTGGCCCGTCTGCGTCACACATGTGGCCCGTCTGCATCACACACACGTGGCCCGTCTGCATCACACACACGTGGCCCGTCTGCATCACACACACGTGGCCCGTCTGCATCACACACACGTGGCCCGTCTGCATCACACACACGTGGCCCGTCTGCATCACACACACGTGGCCCGTCTGCGTCACACACACGTGGCCCGTCTGCATCACACACACGTGGCCCGTCTGCATCACACACACGTGGCCCGTCTGCATCACACACACCTGGCCGCCTCCGTCACACACACGTGGCCCGTCTCCGTCACACACGTGGCCCGTCTCCGTCACACACGTGCCCGTCTGCGTCACACAGGTGCCCGTCTGCGTCACACAGGTGCCCGTCTCCGTCACACACATGTGGCCCGTCTGCGTCACACACGTGCCCGTCTGCGTCACACAGGTGCCCGTCTCCCGCTCCATGTGCAGATGAAAGAAAAATAACACCGTTTCGGGCCGTCCCGGATCTTCACCATTCCATAAGGATCCCAGATGGACCGAAACGTCGACACTTCATTTCATATATGTGATCTCCCAGGTCTCGGGTGTTTCGTTCTTTGCCTGGTTTTACCGCTTACTTGTTCCAGTGGTCTACGCCCCGGGGTGCCAGTGGTCCACACCCGGGGTGCCACTTTTATATCGGCAGGACTCCGCGAACTTCTAACTTTGTTTTACGTCCGAGAGATCGAAGTTGGAAACTAAAAGGACTCTTTTTGAGATAATTTATCTGTCGCGTCTGGTGTGTAATCTGGATAAAAGTGTGCTTGCTGTGGGGGTGGAGGGTGGAGGTGTGTGTGTGTGTGTGTGTGTGTGTGTGTGTGTGTGTGGAGGACACCACACACACACACACACACACACACACACACACACACACACACACACACACACACACACACACACACCTGTACTACAGACAGGTGCTGTAGTACACTAATCAGGACTTTCTACGAGAACTTAAGTGACTGAAAATTAAATCAGACTAACGCTACCAAAAAAATCAGATGTAGCCACATGCTCTAATTTTCTTATTAATAAATACAATACATTTGCCGTATTTCACTAAATGTGTTGGCTTTGAAAATTTACTACTAAGAGTTTCTGACTCTTTAACCCAAATTATCAATTTAAATTCACTGGGATCACTAGGTCATATATAGTATTTATTGCTGGTTCAGGAGTGGCTTGTGGTGGATTGGGACGGGGGGCGAGGTGGCCATTGCAACCATGTTAAGAGATATCATTTCTGTCTTTGACCTTCTACGTCTGATATTGAAGGGAGTCGAAGTGCATATATTAGTTCATCTTGAACATGTGAGTTCATCTTTAAATTGCTTAGAGTCGCGAAGGCCGCTACACACACACACACACACACACACACACACACACACACACACACACACACACACACACACACACATACATCTCAACCGATAAAGCTTAAATTACACAACAAAAAAGAGGGGAAACAAAGGTTATTAAATGCAGAATGCGATAGTTTTATCAAGCGATCTGCCCCACTTGTTGGGTAAGTGCGTGACGGTGGTTGGTAACGAGGAACAACTGTAATTACCTTAGCGGGTAACTGTCGCTGGAGGAGCGCGGGAAATAAGCGGTAACATGAGACAAGCGTCCATCTTTTTTGGGCGGGAATTTTTGAATTGTGGCGGGAAAATTGTCACAGGTTGAATAATGCAAATGTCGATTTCAAATATTTCCTATTAATTCACTGATTGGTTATCCCCACATTGTTTTGTTCATTGTAGTGGATTAATATATACATTAACTGGTTTGTTCACACTTTAGTCGAGGAAATACAAATCATAGGTTATATCTTGAGGTTATCTTGAGATGATTTCGGGGCTTTTTAGTGTCCCCGCGGCCCGGTCCTCGACCAGGCCTCCACCCCCAGGAAGCAGCCCGTGACAGCTGACTAACACCCAGGTACCTATTTTACTGCTAGGTAACAGGGGCATAGGGTGAAAGAAACTCTGCCCATTGTTTCTCGCCGGCGCCTAGGGATCGAACCCAGGACCACAGGATCACAAGTCCAGCGTGCTGTCCGCTCGGCCGACCGGCTCCCTAGTAATCATGACTAGTAAATGTGAAACCTGCAGTCACTTTCTCTGAAAAGTCCAAGAGGCTCACTGGCTAGCTGAGAAATTCAGTCATTCTCACAGAATACATTGTTACAATGATGAGATATTTAGTCATTCTCACAGAATACATTGTTACAATAATGAGATATTTAGTCATTCTCACAGAATACATTGTTACAATAATGAGATATTCAGTCATTCTCACAGAATACATTGTTACAATGATGAGATATTTAGTCATTCTCACAGAATACATTGTTACAATGATGAGATATTCAGTCATTCTCACAGAATACATTGTTACAATAATGAGATATTCAGTCATTCTCACAGAATACATTGTTACAATGATGAGATATTCAGTCATTCTCACAGAATACATTGTTACAATGATGAGATAATGAGTGAGAGTGATCGAGGCCAGTTGTAACCACCTGGGAAAGTGCTGGTGTCATGTCATGCACCGGTATGACACCGATAGATCTTGACATGTCATGAACTGGTATGACACCGACAGATCGTGTCATGCCAAAAATTATCGTACTAGAAAATGAAAACGTACTGGCGAAAGTGTCGTCTTTGTTGACCATACGGGTTCGTGTTGTCCCGTTTTCTGTTTTAGGTCCTCTGGTGGGTTAGGATGAGGACACTTTTTACATTGAGCGTTTTCGTGACGTCGGGAGACGTTAGGAGGACGGGCTGGTCAGAGTGCGCACTGCGCTGCCTGTTTCTTTATGTTTGGCGGGCTCAGGCAGCCCGCGCAATCCTACTTGAGTTACCATTTATGTCGTGTGTGGGGGGTGGGGGGGGGGGGGGGGTGTTGCGTGTGTGTGTGTGTGGGGGGGAGGGGGTGTTGCATGTCGTGTGTGTGGGGGGTGGGGGGGCAGGGGGGGTGTTTCATGGGTGTGGTATGTAGGTGTAATTACCTAAGTGTAGTTACAGGATGAGAGCTATGCTCGTGGTGTCCCGTCTTCCCAGTAC